GGTTCGTGCCGGGTCCCCCCCGGCGCATCCCGAGGCTGCTGGGCCGGATGCGGGAATTCATCGCCCGCCACGCCCGCGACCACGCCCGGACCCTCGACCCCCGGGGACCCCCCCGCGACTTCATCGACGCCTTCCTGGCACAGCGGGAAAAGGTGGGAATGGCAGGAATATTGGGAATACTGGGAATGGTGGGAATGGTGGGAATGGCGGGAATGGCGGGAATAGTGGGAATAGTGGGAATGGTAAAAACGCCCGGACCCTCGACCCCCGGGGACCCCCCCTGGGACTTCATCGACGCCTTCCTGGCACAGCAGGAAAAGGTGGGAATGGCGGGAATATTGGGAATAGTGGGAATGGTGGGAATAGTGGGAATACTGGGAATAGTGGGAATAGTGGGAATACTGGGAATAGTGGACTGGGAATAGTGGGAATGACGGGAATATTGGGAATAGTAAAAATGCCCAAAGCCTGGACCCCCAGAGCCCCCCCTGGGGCTTCATCGACGCCTTCCTGGGGCACCGGGAAAAGGTGGGAATGGTGGGAATATTGGGAATGGTGGGAATGGTGGACTGGGAATAGTGGGAATAGTGGGAATGGTAAAAACGCCCGGACCCTCGACCCCCGGGGACCCCCCCGCGACTTCATCGACGCCTTCCTCCAGCACAGGGAAAAGGTGGGAATACTGGGAATACTGAGAATACTGGGAATAGTGGGAATACTGGGAATAGTGGACTGGGAATAGTGGGAATGACAGGAATACTGGGAATAGTAAAAATGCCCAAAGCCTGGACCCCCAGAGTCCCCCCTGGGGCTTCATCGATGCCTTCCTGGGGCACCGGGAAAAGGTGGGAATGGCGGGAATATTGGGAATATTGGGAATATTGGGAATGGTGGGAATGGTGGGAATAGTGGGAATACTGGGAATACTGGGAATAGTGGGAATAGTGGGCTGGGAATAGTGGGAATAGTGGGAATAGTGGGAATAGTGGGAATGGTAAAAACGCCCGGACCCTCGACCCCCGGGGACCCCCCCGCGACTTCATCGACACCTTCCTGGCACAGCGGGAAAAGGTGGGAACGGCGGGAATGCTGGGAATACTGGGAATGGTGGGAATGGCGGGAATAGTGGGAATAGTGGGAATAGTGGGAATAGTGGGAATAGTGGGAATAGTGGGAATGGTGAAAACACCCGGACCCTCGACCCCCAGGGACCCCCCCTGGGACTTCATCGACGCCTTCCTGGCACAGCAGGAAAAGGTGGGAATGGCGGGAATAGTGGGAATACTGGGAATGGTGGGAATGGCGGGAATATTGGGAATAGTAAAAGCGCCCAAAGCCTGGACCCCCAGAGCCCCCCCGGGGTTTCATCGACGCCTTCCTGGGGCACCGGGAAAAGGTGGGAATGGTGGGAATATTGGGAATATTGGGAATAGTGGACTGGGAATAGTGGGAATACTGGGAATAATGGGAATAGTGGGAATAGTGGGAATATTGGGAATAGTGGGAATAGTGGGAATAGTGGGAATACTGAGATGGGAATATTGGGAATGTTGGGAATAGTGGGAATAGTGGGAATACTGAGATGGGAATATTGGGAATGTTGGGAATAGTGGGAATAGTGGGAATACTGAGATGGGAATATTGGGAAT